GTGTACGCGTGTGTGACGGTGAATTATGTGGCTTTTTACGCTGCACTGGCTAGAATTTAAATAGCCACCGCTTCAGGAGCTGGATCCTCCACAGATCACAAAATGGTAAATCACTTTTCAATTTCTTTTTGTTTATTTTAAACTTACACGTTACAAAATCATTTACAATGGAAGATAGCTAACATTTGTCAAAATATAAATATCATCGAATATTTCTATTTTTCACAAACGTCAACGTGTACTCAACGCGTCAGCCTACCTTATAATAACCATAGAATTACGCACGCGTTTAAATATTATATCATTTAAAAAATCCGAACACGTAACGAGATAGGAAAAAGTCTACTTAGGTTTGCAAAATTGCACGTAGGAGATTTGTAATGATAGTTACGCGTAATAAATGGTCCGTGACACCATTGTCGAGGATTCTTGGATACTCGAGCCTAGGTCATTTCAACAATTAGCTGCAGTAGTCCGATTTCCAAGAATTCCGGAAAAAATATACGCTGGTGGGAAAGCCAGAAACTTTCCCTCCGCATAGTGACACACCCATGAATACAAACATGCGAACCATGGTCGATTGCATTCGCCACCACTGTGCAAAGGACGCCAATGGGAGCCTCTTACTGTTAATCACGTCACGCACAACACGCCCCGACTGAACGCGTCGTGTTCCTCGTTATTGTTTAAACATATTTAGTTCTGCTGAAACACGTGCAACTCACATCACACAACGTGACTTCTGCACACGAAAAAGCCATTGACAGTGTCCTCGAGACATTCATTTATCGCGAGATCCATAGCGTTTAGTGAGCTAACCGACTATCAATTGGATCTCGTCTGTGGAACAGATTCATCCCACTATTTTAATTTGCAATCATTCAATTCAAATGAGCTGTTGCCTTGAAAACTGATACGTAGCCAGAACTGAATTTTCCGAAACTATTAAACCCTGTAACAAACACCAGGAGCAGTGTTTTAATTATTCAGCTTCCTAATTTGAATAAACTGATGTCTCAGAAAGCAATTGCTACGTCTGATGGATATTTTCCCCTTGAATCTTTAAAAATTACTAGGCATGGAAACTTTAATAATAGAACCAGGATTGGAACAGTGACAATGGATGAAGAACAGCTGAGTAATTCACTCTTTAATTGCCTAATTGACGAGACATCGACCTCTTCGATATTATAATAATATTTGATTGTTTTTGTTAGCTTTGCATTGCAGTGCCCCAACCAAGTGTTTACTTTGTTCACTGATCAATCCAGTCCTGAGAAAAATGCATTCATTGTTTCAATTGTTCAGCTACCAAGAACCAAAGAAAAGAATCCTTATCTATTTCAGTGCGTCACTCGACCTTCCTGATGCTGAAAACCACAATATTGGCTAATCGTTAGATTTTCAACTAAAAAATAGAAAAAGATAAGATAAATTATATCGCCGTACACCTGGTAATTAGTAGCTGTGAAATTCAATGAATTTGTAGTATTCCTTTCTTGCACAGTTCCTTTTATTATGCCGTAACAGTGCAACGCGCATTTCTGAAAAAACAGTTATTCACGGATGCGTAAAGAAAGAAACTTGTGACTGGTTTTTCTGTAACCTTCTACATAGCATGAACGTCGAATTAGGCAAGGTGAGCGAGACTTGCAATGCGGAACATCTCAGTCACTGATTCACTGTTACAGTCAATTCACCGCCTCATTAATACGATTCAGTGTACAAAGCGTTTTATTAGAACATGTGGTGCCTGTTTCTTGTACAGGGGGGGGGCATCAAATAATGCAAGAAGTTATATTTTTATAGCTCGACAATTCTTAATCAGAAATTGAGTAAACTGTGTATGGATTCAGAAAATAATCGAACATTAATTATACAGGATATTTTTTTAAAAATTCAGAATTCATATGGTAGATAGCAAAGTTGAGTAAAAATTATTTCGAACATAGTTGACGTTATTCGTGATCTTCCATTTATTCTTCAAAGTAACCCTTGTTCCTGAGTAGTGTTTCTTTTAATACTAATCGATATTATTGACGATAGAGTTGGGCAGATTTTATTCACGAATAACGAATAACGAATAAAAATATTAGAATTATTCGTGAACCAACCTTACATTTTATTTGTAAATCAGAATCTATTAATATAGTTTTTAAATCTGAATGAACGAATCTGAAAATTTGTTATTCAAGAATAAAACTTGCTGAGGAATGAATATTCGATGCTGTGGCAATTAAACGAATAAACATCGCTTATGTCGCGAAAAAGATGTACTATTTCTTGTTAAACCTGTGTCAAATGATAACAGGAATATCGCTTTACCTATAAGTTAAAGACATGAATGAGAAATTGATCCAAAACCAACTTGGATCGAGTAACAGGAAGATTTTTTTAAAACTATACTTGTTGGTACACATTGCGTGTTGCAACAGTAAAGTTGCATTTTTTCCACAACAGCATTGTTCTGTGAAATTTCGCAACATCCAGCATGCTCGACGAACCGTTCTCCAACGGACGATTACCTTTTCCGCCATTTAGGGCTGTTCGAAAGAAACGCCGGGAAAAACTATTGACGGTAATTTCGATCAAAGTTGAATTTTTCTTGAATTGTTTTCAAGCACCGTGTAAAGCATTTTGATGCACAAAATTGGTAATTTTAGTTCCGTATAATTCTTCTTTATTGAATCTTTTTTATACGCACCAATTTTCTCAGAATGATATTACTCGTTCTCTTCTTTTCATTTAAAAATCATCGACGGAAGTAGAAAATAATACCAACGTTACCACTTGGTTTATTTATAATTATATGTTTTATTAATCTCATTTGAAAACCAAAACTATTGCCACTTTTAAGTCCTTTATTATTTCGTTACGCTTAATAGAATATCAACGCAGAAGTATTCCATTTAATAGAATTGAATTGACCTCGAAACGACCTAGAAACCGAAATTTAGAATACCATTTGTATCCAATCGAGTTCCACGTTGAAGGCTGGAAAAATTCCCCTGCTATCGTTTGATAAAATCAGTAATTTAGGTTTTACTTGGACCAACACTTCAGCACGTACATCCGCTATAGGACGTTTTATATCACGCACGACAATGACTTTGTACAGCTTATGTAAGCCGTACGAATGTGTTGGATAATACGATCCACAGTCGAGATTAGGTTGGCAATTGATGCAGTTGCTTTTTACCAGATCTGGATAGCGCTGATTGTGTCACGTCATCCTTCGAAACGCGTTAAAACCATCGATTTTCATTTGTCTCGTTCCGTTTTCCACAAATACACAAAGCTGTTCGTTGGTTGTGATGCAATCGGAAAGGGGGCCATTCTTCATGAACGAATAAATCTCAAATACATATTCATGCTATGTTCCTGCTACATTTTTCTACAATGTTTGAAAAAATACATTAATCATACGACTAAATATTGTTATGTTAGAGATTGTTATCATGTCGTAAAGGATAACAGTTTAAACCACCAAATTTCTCAGCACTTTGTTTTTTGTTTAAGTATTTAAATGTATGTGCATATTTATCTGTTTTTCCGTTTAATTTTGGAAAGATAAACTTAGTGTTGTCTAGGAAAAGTTTTATAGAAAACACTAGTGCCAGAGTTGGACAATTTTATTCTTTCCTATGTGTACCATACTGTTTGCAAATAGTGTGAGAAGTGTATGTGTTTGGACCGTGGGATGTTTAGTCTAAGCTAGAGTAGATATCGAGTGAGGTGTTTAGGTTTAAGAAACGAGATTCTTGGCAAAAATTGCATCCACACGGTTGAAATAGATTTTCTATTAACCTAATTGCATTAACGACCAACTCTAATTGTCGCCATGCTTGGCACGGGAACTCCAACAATACTTAATTCAGAGATGAAACAAAAATAAATCGAAAGTAAGAGGTTTCGTAAAGCCACATAAAACGCAAGTTCGTTCAAAGAACTTGATTTAATTGTCTCCAAAGATCGGTCACCAAAGTGTATGCAACTTGACATTGATAGCTAGGAAGGAATGTGGTACACTAACAACGCACACGCGTCGAGAATTGAAAAGAGGTATTTATTAACATTGTAGATTGGAGACTATGGTCGATTAAGGACTTTCCCACAATCCCATGCATTATCGAGTCACGCTCCAGCAAGAAAGATAATGCAGTGTTTATGGCGTGTGCGTGGCATTTTGTAAATCGGTGTGTATGTGCTATACGCTACATATGGTACATATAGTGTCGAATTTTCGACTCGATGCCAACAATAAATACAATACAATACTCTCACTTACATATTCTCGGGCTTCATTTTATATAATTCATAATTACAAATATAATCTCTAATCCCTTTTACTAGAGATTGAAAAACCTATCTCTTAATGTAATACAATGTTAATGTGTACACACGTGCATTGTAGCTATCTTGACCTACGTATTTTTACGACTTAATTACGACCGCAAAGCTGGGCAAATTTTATGTACCAATAAAAAATGAAAATTGTATAGTATTCTGCAAAATTAAAATTTCTAATATAATTTTTTAAAATTAGTTTCAGAACTTATTTTCTAAAATTCATGAATTTTATACAAATTTAATTTTTTTAATATCTAAAGTTGGGAATTAATTGTTCTAATTCCATAGTAGGAGATCCTGTCACCCATATGTGGGTGACGTGGTAAGAGTTAAAAAACCAATTTACATTATATTATAATTAACTATATCTCTAGTGAAATTTGATCAAATCTGGTATATGAATTGTTTTATAGAAAAAAGATAGAATATGGGTCACCATTGACCCGTCTTTGTATGTAGAATGGACTGTAAAAAAGAATCCTCCAGTTTCTACGCTGACTTTTGTGTCGATACGTCGGGTCGTGCGCGAGATTGACGAATTAGACGGTCGAGTTTAAGCAGCCTTAATTCCCGCGCGTAGTGGGGGAATTCGAATTATAGCCGGGGCATCACAATGCGCGGTTCCCGCGTCGCTCAGTGTGCGTCGAGTCGTCACCGCGGTTGGATGGGAGTTTGTAGTTGGTGAGAAGTAGGCGCGCGCGCAAAACAACGAAAAGAGAGGGGGAGAGAGAGAAAGAGTCGGCTTTCGGTCAGTAGTGTGTTGTGTGGCGAGCACGTGTGCGTGCGCGTCTTGCTTCGAGTGCTCTAGAAAACGTGCCGAACGTCCGGGAGGATCTTGGCTCACCAAATTATTTTAACACGGACAACGTCTTCCTTTTAAATTTTCACACGACTTTCCAACCAGTTTACACCTTGCGTCTTGCATCTTGGAAAATTTCTTATACATTGCGCGTCGCTTCACCGGATTAAAATATTCGTAAGTGTCTCTCTATATTCCCTCTTATCGCTCGGTGCATAAGGCATCCATCGTTATTAAAATTAATTAATTTGGGATGCCTGTGTTCGTCGATTTCAAAGAGTTTGTATTTTTATATTTTCAGACAAATTATTGTATCAAATTCAGTCTACACGTACTCGCGCGTATAAACAGAACACAGTCGTTTGTTTGCTGTTTCGAATACATTGTCGTTAGGTTACGACGATTGGCATCTGTCGTGTTTGTATAATGGTTGGATCTCGATGATCAAATTTAATTCTTTTAGCCTGTTAGAGTACTGTATTAGTACCATAGGCTTTATGAAATGTTTTATGGTCGAGATAATGCGTAAAATAAATTAAAGTTCGTTGGGTTCGCCCGTTACAGAAACGTAAAATTTCACAAGGTACACGGGAATGTTTTGTTGATGTTGTTTGACATTCGGAACTTTCGAAATAGTCTAGATGCTTACCTTGTTAAGCCCATTTAATTACCAGAGATTTCCTAACACTCTATGAACAGGTTTCGAGCATGTGATCTCAAACAAGCCCGCAGTTTTAGACTTCTGAAACATATATAATTTAGTTAAAAATTCTATATTAAATAATTACTACAAGTTCTTTAAATCATCGTCTCGTTATTTTTTCTAGAGAACTTAAATTTTATATTCTTGAGATGTCGCGTGGAATTAAATAAATTTTTATACGAGACAATAATGTTTATCTTTGTTTATCGTGTGATAAGCTGCGTTGTCACGTGGCATGAGTCGCCTGATTGCCAGAGATGGGCAGCAGTTTGTTCGTGTGACAGATAATCAATAAAATCAATGCACAGGAATTTCTTTGTGATATTTGTTGGATCGAACGATTGAACGTTTATTTGTTCGTTAAAAATTAATTTTTACATACATATTAAAGAGTGGGAAAAATACATTCATCATTCCCAATAAAAATTTTCAAATAAAATTAACTATTCGATTTTCTTCAATAGTACACTTATTTTCAATGATGAAAATTAGTAAATTCTTTACAGTCCACGGTGAAAAATTATTATAATAATTTTTATTCATAATTTCAAAGTCCTCAGGCTTTCCAATTAAACGTTTTTCAAATATATATTGTGTTAATGTCTATTTAATGATAATGATGATCACTAAAATATGAATTTTGTATTAGTTTAGAGAAATGTGTCCCTAATGGTTTTTTTTTTTATTATAAATTGCGTGTAGAATATATAGTCAAAAACCACTTACGAAACAGTTCATTTTCAGCTCGATATACATGACAAAAAGTACTGCTGAATCTATGAAGTCATTGTATCGTCAATGTGTCGTAATCGTGTGAGAACTGTTAGATGTTATGTTCGTTCTAGTATGGTATTTTGTATTCCGATGTAAGTCGGATAACTACAGGGTGTCCCACGCAACTGGAACAGGCTATACCTCCTAAACGGTTAGAAATAGAAAAATATGTTATAAGTCAAAGTTAAATGGTATTAGACGATGCGTAATATGCAACTAGTTTTATGCACTTTTGTGCATTGGTGCATCAGGAAAATGCAACTGCACCTTTTTTTTAAATGGAAACCTACATTTTTTATTGCACCAGTCGATGTAGTTTCTTATGCTCTACAGAAAACTACTAACATACTTATGCCCTAAACTTATTCGTTAGGAAGTTATCCTCTCATAGACGTAGGGGAAAATTATCAGGTGGATCTGTTAACAGTCAAAATTATTAATTAATAGGTGGAGGCAATTTATCGATTTATCGATCTGTTGTAAGACACGAATTTGAACTTTGACTTCAATTTGAGTAGAACATCTTCATTTATTTATGTTTAAATAATTTGTAACACCCGTGTCATTCATTTATTGTATTCAAAGAATATTCAAAAATTGAAAATTCTCGATGTGGCACAATAAGGAAAATTCTGTAAAAATTCACTGAAATACATTCAAGTATGTAGTTTAAGCCTATAAAATTCGAATGTTAAAAAAAAGTTAGAGATCTTTTTTATTCCTAATCATCTCTCAGTTATTACACAACCGTGTCAAAATGGAATTTAGTGCAACAGAAACGTAAAAAAACAATCTGTTCTTAGATAAGCTAGTCCCATCGACGACAAGATGATTACAGAAAATTACAGTTAGTGATAGCTGTCACACAAAATATTGATAGATACTTTCTACGATTTACTGGATTTGTGTTCTATTACGTAATGTCAAAGCTGCAATTTCTTTTTTCTAACGAGAAAGTATAAAGATTAAGTTACGTAATCTTATTTTAAAATATCCTATTATTAGTACTTGGAAACTAGAAACGTAATGTCTGTCATCAACTATCGCTCCAGTCGTCGGGAAATTATATTTAAACACTTATTGGTGACGGTGAGATTACGTAACTCGAACAATGAAATCCATTATTGGCTCCCTTTATTTAAATAAAAATTAAATTAATTTAATTTCGAGGTTATTAGGGATGTTGGTTCGATTTTTGTCGACTTGATTAATTTTAATGAATGAATATCACCAGATTATGGATCTTGTTAGTCACGTGATTGTATTTAAGGGGGAGGGGGGGGGGGAGTTCAAGTTTATTAAAATAATTATTAGGTAATAATTGTACCTTGAACAGTTAAAGATTAGGTAATCCCTTGTGATCGATGTGTTGCAATTTTCACGTATCGAAGTGGATTCTTTTGATAACAGACCTTTGATCAATGTCCCACCAGTGCCCTAATTCTTATACGAGTTTCGATGGCTCGATCTCTTCTATAATAGTTCGAGATATCGCTTTTACATTCGTTAGAAAAGGATTAGCGTAGATTTCTTATCTGCGGAGAGGCTGGATTTTTCCATTCTATTTCCCACTGGCGCATCAATTTGGTTCTAATTGAATTAATTAAACAGTCTTTGCTGGAAAATCTGCGTCGATCAATCCATACAAATATTCTGTGTGCAATTTAGATGATTTCGCGGTGCATTTCCTGAGTTTGAAGAAGAAGCTTGTGAAAGACACGGTCGATGGTAGCTCTATCGTGAAAATTGATGAATTCGATCGATTCCTCGCCGTTTCCTCAAACATTTTAATATGTTTCGACACGATTAAAAGCACGAGAACGGTTTTAGACGTGAAATTTCATAGACTACGACGATAAGGAACTTCGAAATAACGAACTCGTTTACCAGACTTTCTCCATCGGGCAGCTTTCTGTGAAAAGACTAAAAAATTTATCAGAAGCGATCTACCAGCGATTTATTAGCCCAGATAATAAGAAGCGTGTGGCTCTATTACAACACGCGTCAACGGAACACGCTGCACCCCTAATTTCGAAACTTGGATATTGCTTAGTGTTGAACATCTTCTGATATTGGGTGGGTGGATACAAGTACACTGTTGTCGATTGTTTCGTATTTTCAAGCGTTAAGCAACACTGTCGTTTTCACATCACTGTGTCTCGGTTTGTGTGGCAGGCTTATGGCCGCACGATGGCGCTTTACGGTGGAGTGGTCAACCATAGGGGAACCCCTAAGGCTCGCTAGTCTGTCGCGGGGAACTCCCGTGCTTGTGTATTACTATCGAAAAGTTACGTTAAGAAACAGTTTTATAAAACATCTCTTCTTAGCTACCTTTATAATTTCTCTGTATGGTTTATTAGACTCGAATAAATTGCATTTAATATTACTATCGGATCACAATTTGAATTAGTCGAATTTTACAAGAATCGATGCCCCAATTTGCTATTAGACAGACTTCTTATCAGTTAATCAAAAGTGCTAGGAAAACAATAGATCGTAAAGCAAGATGGAATCTAACAACTTAATATTTAATGGTGCATGTCAGAGATTCGAGCCTTCGTCTAACCCTAACCTAAAACCAATAGTAACCATAATCCATCCAAAGGAAGTATGTATATGGTAACGTATACTGATCATTAGGGAACCTAAACAAATTTAAAGAATTACAAGAGATAATCATAATCAGATCTTGACATCAAAATATGGAACTTGAATATGAAGTTTAGTTGAAGTCCGTTCAAAATTCTCTCGCTTGGCAGTATTGCAAAATGACGTCGTGTAATATAATTATCGTCCCCAGCGGTCATTTTTAATTCGAAATATATATACGTGTGTGCAATATTTGCGTCTAGGAGCGAGTTCGAAGCACGCAAGACTATCGCTGTTTGCACAGTGCTATTTGTAGAATATACAAGGCGAGCAGCGAGAAAAGGAATACTTGATCATCTTTCATTTGAAGGTCGTTTCAAAATTTTCAAAATTCGACAGCCTCGATCTGTATTCTATGCCATTGATTATTATCGTATACTTCGAGTAAAATAAGGTAGAGAAAACATTTTATTAACCCTCTGGAACCCAAATTATGTTTTTCTGAAGAAATATATGATAGACACTGAAATTGGAAGGTAAATTCTAATAAATTCAACCTTCCAACATTGTACTCATTCTCGTATGAGAAATTCTAAGTAATAATTGTTGTGTTCGAACTGTTAATTATTCTTTTAAAACCACAGGTGATATATGTATTGATCATAGGATTAAAAGTCTTAAAAAATGTAGATTTTTGTAAGTAATGGATTCAGTGACTGTGATTAATTTTATCAGAACAACGTTTAGGTTAGTTCAAAGGTGAAAAGTAAACAAAATTTTTAACTGTTTCCACTTTAATGTAAAGTGTATTAAAATATGTTGATTTGTAGGTCCTCTTGCATAGGAACTGATTAAATAAATATATTTAGAGAATATTTAAATTGTTAAACACAACCACTTTAATTATTCTTTACATATTACATAGTTAAATAAATTACAACTCGACTCGAGACGAAAGCCATGGGAATCCCCGTACGATCTTCAATCTTATTATAGATGTCGCCATTTGGTCGCGTGATTATTGCCGCGAAATTATGAATGGCTGAACAAAATAGTCGTACAGTGACCATGGAATTAAATAAAAAAAAAATGTAGATAGCATGTATGTGAT